TTTTCATTTATTTTGTTTCAAACTAATAATTATACAGATCATCATATAATTTATAAATTCATGTATTAAGTATACGTTTATAAAACGCTCTTCCGGTAATTTTCTAATTAATTGTTAATAATATTACGTGTTTTGAGTATTTTCAACTCTTTTATGTATTTCGTACGGTTAATAAATATTTATTATTTTCTCTAGGTAAATTTGGATTTTACTAGGTTATTATTTTAACATTTCTAGTTCATCGATTACTGTATACTATATTGTGATAGCAGTTTAAATTTAAATTAAGTTTGTTTCAAATATTTAGGGTCCCTATATTCCGATCTTATAGGGTTATCATCTTGTTCTCGTGTTTATTTTTCTTTTGTATACATTTGAATTTGTATTTTGTATAGACATTTTATTATGAGAGCAATAATATCAAACAATCAAATAGTATTGTATATCGTCTTTTTGAACATCATCATCACCATCATCATCATCATCATCATCCTCATCATCAACACCATCATCTTCGCCATCACTATTGTAACCATTTTAAGTTCTGATTCTACCCCCTCTGAAACCACCAGGATTTTAGGGTCGTAGTATAGGCCTACCTATAATTTATTGCTCCACTAAAGGTACACGATGTAAATTCAAAAAAGAAAGTCATATATATGTGTCAACAATAAACAAGAATGCTTTTCATTTATTTTGTTTCAAACTAATAATTATACAGATCATTATATAATTTATAAATTCATGTATTAAGTGTTCGTTTATCAAACGCTTTTCCGGGAATTCCTTCAATATCTCGCGTAGAGATGCTCGATTACTGGCATAACGTTTCCCACTGTAGAATAAAAGGTAACGTTATTTGATTTGATCAAATTTTGCATGAAAACAAATACCAGTATTCCAGATTTACCAGTATTCCAGATTACCTGGTTCGCTCTAGTCCTACAAGAACATCGAAATATATTTCTGTGTAGTTTTCCCATTGCCATTTTCTTCTGACTCTGGACCAGATTCACCTTTATTGAAAAATCAGAACCAGTAAAGTTCCGTAGGTATTTTATACACCAATTGACGGCTGGCAAAAGAAACATCCTAGAAGTGTGTGTCGAAATACACATAATTCACACATATCATCCTTAACAGAATGTGTTGTATAGATACAAAGTTGCTATTAGGCTTAACGCTATAAATGACGAAACGTTCATTAGAGGAATTTCTGCTATCGTTTTGAGTTGAGTATACGATTGATCGTAATTGTTCTGAAAAAAAAAATATGTACATATAGGCCTATAGAGTTGGAAACAAATTCAATTTTTTAAGTAATGATTGATGATAATACTGTATATAGACACGAATTAAATGTGTTTTATCATTGATTGTAAATACAAAAAAAAGTGACTTACCCAACCTCCTTGGATATTAATCCATTCCAAAAATTCCGTCTTCACGTATGTCTACATTCTGAATTACTTGATCAATCAAATCAGTTCTATTTCTATCTTTACATAAAACAGCTAACCTCGCTCCAAACACAAAAACCATAATTATACGGCCCCAGTTTATGATATTATCGCTAAACATTTCTGTTAAAATGTCTTTGAAAAACGTCTCGATATTCTCATTTGAATCGAGCAAAACTTCTCTAGTTAATTTATAAAGATGTTCATTGTGCATTTCATACAACTTTTCGCAATATTTTAAAAAATTACTCTTCATATCCTCTATAAATTCCATGTCATTGCCTAGTTTATATGCCACAAACGCTGAATTTATTTCTCGTGCAATTCGTTCAGTTTCCATCTTCATGTTTTTCCCTCTAAAATCAAAATTATGTTTTAACTTTGAACATGATCTTCCTGGATAGGTATTCCTAAAGTAAACACTAAATTGTATGTAATTGAAACTAATTTTGTGTTCTTACCCTAAATTTCTTCTAAATTTATACACTACAGGAATAAAGGCATGACACATGACATGAAGTTAGAAGCGGGTAATTCAAACCATAGAGTCACCAGCGGTCACTGATACGTCTGAACCATTCTTTACATAAGCCAATAGAAATCGTCCATTCTGCGCTACGTCACCAAATCTCATTCACCCGGGCAATTCAAACTATAGTCACTAAATTTACAGTCACCAAACTGTCACCGATAATCCCCTAACCTAACCCTTTTGTTTTCAAATTCAATACCCTCATTAATTTAATGGGCAAGAAGATTCTTTTGTGACTGTAATTCCAGCACTGGCAGACTTATCTCCCTTTTGTCTCAATTTTCTCTCTCATTGTTACCAATTTCTAAAGAGCACACAATAGTGCGACTATAAATTTTAAGGGAACATGACAAACCTAACACGTCACGCTACACATCGTCACTTAATTAATACCACTTTTTGTTTTTTAATATTTCAAAACCCTCATATACCCCTTCATATGCTTCAACCCATTATGTACAAAATAAAATTATTAATAAATAATTATGAATTATGATGACGTAATATTCTATTGTGCCACTATACCTGCATACTATCTACTTATCAATATATATATAGCAAGAAACAAAAAAACGTATCTCAAACTCGGTCAACTTCGTAACATCTGCGTTGTTTCTGTAAAAAAAGAAAAATAGCACCAAGTTATACAGTAATATAGTAACAATTAACAAACTTCAATACTACTAAAAATAATTGTTATAGAAGCTAGGCTACACAACAATAACGCCTCAATAACATGATGCATATGTTACTCCAAACCTAACTTTCAGCTGTTGTTGAAATGTGGAATTCAAATAAAATATACAGTATCTCAGTATGGTTGATAACATTTTTGATTTTTTAACAAACCTGGTTTTGCATTATTATAACTTACTGTATACTTATTTCTCAATAGGAGCAAATGACTGGCTCAAATGGATGTGATGCAAACAGTTCCATCTGTGTGGACATGATGAAATGGACATGACCAATCCATGGTTAGCAGAAGGTGGCGATGCTCAGAGCTCTGCAGCAAGTGATTGAGGCCAAAATATTTAAAAAGAATTAAATTAAATTTTCTGAAGATATACTGAAATGCCACACACTTTAAGTTTTTGTTTTTTGCGCATCTGGTTTATATCTGTCTCTTATACACATCTCCCCCACCCCCGTTTCGAAAAATTCTGGATCCTCCCCTGATTTTGGTATGACAATATGCCTTGGGTCGCCACAGAAAACGGTGCATTCTGAAAGTGGATGCCACGTTGGTGGTTTGTGCATTTGGCGTTCCATATCTTCTAACTGCTTCCAACTCAACTATTGGGAGATTTTACATGTTGGAGTCCCGATTACACCAGTCTACCTCGATTGTTTAATAGTTAATACAGTATCACATTCACAAAGGAGTATTTTGAACTCTTGCCAGTATTTAAACGAGGTGGTTTTTTTTTTTCTCGTTTACTAAGTAAGTAAAGTAAGAATTAGGCCTATTTACATGACCATTGTCAACCAAGCAGGAGTGGTGGGCGGGCCAGGGCCTGCCAGGTAGAGGTAAGTGACAGATGATGGGCGATTGTCACCCAGTCCAACTTCAACGGAATTCACTTCAACAGGTCGATGCCTACCAATGTTTCATTTTTTCCCCGACAGATTAGTTTACCGTGGCCCTCTGACGGCTAAGCTAGGCCTTCTGGACAGATTAGAGGTGGCGTCACCCCTATGATCAATGCAATAGAATAGTTTCGGTGTCACGTAAGTTACGACAAGCATTAAAAAATGGATACCGGCATACCGGTATTTAATTGTTATCGAGGGAATTCGTTATCGATTAGCTTCAAGCGGTTGTGGTTGTGAATGGGCGGCCATTTGGGCCAATATCACCATCATCAGCAATATCCTGCCAAAGCCACTAATTATCATACCGTACTCCCTCGAATAAGCGCCCCTCGTAAAGTGAAGATGTTGTTAAGCACCGTGTTTGAATAGGTCTTTAACGATTTTTTGGAACAGTTCAGGAGATGATAATATGTGGTTGCTGATGCTCGTTGCAACGATGGCGATCAATTGGGGATCGTCCGACAGGAGATCGTGTAGCGGGCCCAGCTCTTGTTGAGTCGAAGGCGTTCCCGGTGTCGCAGTCGCCGTTGCTGATTCAGGACCGCTCGTATCCAGTTGTGGGCTAAGGCCTAGGTCGGACTTGCCTCCGTTGATGCTAGGTTTCTCGATTCCACATTTTGATTTGGATGATCTAGTTGTTGCCATGTTGTCGTCTTCTTATAAAATAAAAGATTAAATCGTCGAAAAGTAGGCCAGGTGAATAATTTGAAATTTAAGAGACTTTTTAGTGGAGCTAGTTAATACATCGACACACTTCCTGACAGCCTTTTACGATTAAATAATCAATTATTATAATTATTATAATAATAATTATTATTATTATCAATTGTCTCATGGAAGTCGGTGCTGATGTGTGCAGTAATAAAATTAAATGTGTTAACAAAGCCATCCAATGCCAGGCCGGGCCCCTAAATTTGTACAATTTATTTTAAAAAATGGGAAATAAGTTATTTTCTAAAATTTATGTTTGAGAGTGTCAGGGGAGCAATAGTCATATTCTTACCTTGGCCCCCACCATAGTGGGGCTGTGGTGGTAGGCCTACCCTACATCTGTGAAAGTCCTTCTTCTTCCCTATTTCAAAATTTCTGGATTAGCCACTGTAGATCTCCCGGAAATGAATTCTTCCAACTTGGGACCTCTGCATCATCAGAATCGAGTGTGCAATGTACAGTACAGTATATTAGAAATCGGAAATAACAATTATCCCATGACCACATAAACAAGCACCTGCAGTAAATTCATTATTCAAAATTATTAAATGAGGTGCAGTAGGCTTAGATCTTTAATATTTACCCCTGGGCTGCGGGCCAACTGCTGCCCGCCAAATATTTGAATCTGGTCCGCACGAAAAAATACATTTTTCAGCCGATTTTTTAGTACTTAAGAGAATAGTTTTTATGTTAATAGAAACATGACCACCTACTCTGGCATTGTTAAAAGAGTCCAACTTTTTCTGAGTGTAGATCAGATAGTTCTGTATTTAGTGAGACTGCTGATGGGGGCACTGATAGGATTTCTAACCATTGGCTGTGTCAATGGCCAGTGGCTGATCCGGGTAGAGTAGCTGGCTTGGGCATGTGATTCTGTTGAGAACACTGTATGGAAAACCTATATAACACTCTGAGAGTGCCATTTTCGGGCATCTAGAGGTGTCTATTTTTAAAATTTGCTCACCTCAGGCGCTTCGAGGTTGTGTCAACATGAGGCGCTATATAAATCCAGAATTATTATTTTTTATTATTAAAAAGTCTGTAACAACAACTCTGCGTATTTTGACACGCTTTTGTGATTTCACGAACTAACACAATCTATTTTGATTGTGTTAGTTCGTGATGTGATCGACGAAATATATATATGAATGAAGGCATCCAGGACATTTGAATTTATATAATTAAACAGCGACAACACTCTTTCGGCGTCCGATCCTTATTAGAATTAAAATACGAAATTTGTTTGGTTTGCCATAGCTTAACAAATTTAACATCCTTAGTGTCTACATATCTTTTTAATACATTTATTGATAATATAGCTACTTTGCTTACCAATGAAAGGTAAACACATCCAAATTTTCGGCCTATTATCAACATTAACACTGAGATCAGTTAAATTATTCTGAGTATTTAGATTAGAAAGAATACAATGGAAAATATACTTCTGGAAACCATTCCATGACACCAGTTTTTAGTTTAGAGATCATGTCAATCTCCTTATCTAATGATGAACAAGGGGAGCATATTCTATTGATAATACAGTCATTACAATTAAGTAAAAAGAATTTGCGGGAGAAGGGTTATTTTCCAAAAGATTCTTGCTTGCTCGTGGGAGTGCAGGAGACCTTCCTGATTTCCGGGAGACTCCCGCAAAGTTCAGGAGACTTGGGACCCCTGTATTTTACTAAAATTAATTATAATTGCCAAATGTTATTTATTATACTGTATGGACTACTGCCATTGTACATTACAGTTTGAGTATTGATAAAATTGTTAGTCTCACTATTAATTTTAAGAACCAGATGAAGTTTATTGATCATTTACAATAGAATAGGGACAAGAGAATGTGTCAGAAATGAATATTGCAACATAATGATTTTGCACACACAAAACCAATGCCTGCCAACCCTGCTTCATTAGTTTTAGTTTTAGCTTGAGTCTTTTAATATTCTTGTTGCTGTTGCTATTGCTGCTGCTGTATTGAAATTGATTTTTATATCAAAAAATTCATTACAGTAAATATTTTTTATAATGCTGTAAATGTTTTTTTTTTTTTCTTTTTTGACAGAAAATGAATTCCCCAAGATTATTTTTCACCATCATTATGTGTAAGTTTGAAATTTGATGTGTTGTTATTATGCATGTAGTACGTTGCTCTCACTGGAACTCCAAACTTTCGGTGCTATTACAACATCTTCACTAATATTGCCATATTCGAAAATATGATAATTGCCTCAAATTCCAGATTAAATATGGATTTTTTAAAATATTTTTTTTTTTTAAATCTTACACCATCTTTAAGATAAATTTTCAGTAACTTGAAATAAAAGATTAAATTGGTTTACTATTTAATAACTAAATTATTATCATAACACCATCAAAGATGCCTAACAAAAAGTGTTTGCCCTCATCCACCACCCCAAGATCCGAAAGAAATTCGGTCAGAGTTTTTAAAAAATTGCTTATTTATTTTTTTAAAATGCCAAATAAAGGAAAATACATGCTATTGCCGATACATTTTGGCAGCACTGCTTGCTGGGTGAAATTGGTGAGACTTCCCATTTGCATCAGGGAAAGCTATGCAGTGTAACAATTGCATTGAAATAGTGTAGCAATTTTATGGAACTAGATTTCAGTCACATTTTTGTAACTTTTTGGTGATTATCCAAATGAGAATAAAACATGTTTGTCTTCCACTATTTATTTGAAAATATACATGTTTTAAAGAATTAAATTAAGTTAATTATCATCTTATATCAACAATAGTACTACACATAACAAATATAATAACAATATTTTTAAACCTTACACTGATACACATTTAAGAACATTTTTATTAAATGAATTCATAGTATTGGGTGTTTATAGTAACAGTTCATTTGTAATTTGTTTGTCTTTCTCTGTAGTTGTTGCAGTCAAAGAAATAGAGTGTGAGGTGAAAACAATATATTTTTGTCCTGATCAGAGTGCAAAAATATATTGCAATGTTACCAGTGATTTCACCAAATTATACTGGAAAAACTCTACAGATTATGTTGTAGCATCACAGACTGTTAATGTGGACAAAAATGCCAAAAAAAGTATACATAAAACATACTCCTTATCTGACCGATTTGAAGTCCAAGGATTATCATTGAAAATAGCATTTCCAAAGGATGGTGAACAATTCTATTGTGATGTTGTATCGAGGAAAAAAGAAAAAAAACAGCATTTTACTCTAGTCGAGTACAGTAAGTGGTATCCTTAATAAGTATGCCAGGTAATATTTCACACCAAATTTGCATTCTGTAGAATGTTCTATTAAACATTATGTCTAATAAAAATACATAAATAGTTAAAAAAAAGTATATCCTTGCCGAGCCACTAGGGCCCATAGGGGCTGTAGCTTATCCCAGTTTCTGTAAGGTGAAGCGGATGAGAGTGAAGCAGCCAGGTATGCTGAAGCAATGTAGATAAATTGCCTTGACACAAGCGAATTGCACAGCAAAGGATTGAAACACCAGCCTCGAGGTTGTGAACCAGTTAGGAATGATTTAGCAACTAACCATGTGTTAGTATTGTCTAACTGTGCACTGGCATATTTTCCAATATTTAGGTGAACCTTATCCTGATGATGTGTGCAGTTCACCAAAAGACACTAACAAAACAAAAAGCAGGCAGTTGAGAAGCAGTGGAACCAACAAAATTACCCGGGAAATTAATGGTAATGATGATGATTGAAAAACTTATCAGTTTTTTTTATTTTATTTTATTTGAATTCCAAAATAAGCAATTTTGGTTTTATTTAAATGGAAATTCAGGTAATGATCATGTAAATGCTATGCAAATAAGTAGCCAATTTACTGACAATACTCAAAGTGATGATGACGAGGACTGTGTTGATTATGATGATATTATCACAAATGATATTTTATTTTCTTATAATTTAGAAACAAACTTTGTATGCATAAATGGAAGAACTATTTTAAAATGTGATAACGGGCAACACGATAGGCCTATCGCAGAGTACTGGGAAGATAGATATGGCAAATTGATTGTGTCTAATGTGGATGGGAGACTATCAAATACGTCCGATGCCAGATATGTATTTAACCATATGAATTCCACATTGTTAGTCCAAAATCTATCAGAATGGGATCATCTATTTGTTTGCAAAACTGTCTACAAAAATGAGGATATCATAAAACGTTTCAATTTACTGGAATATGGTAATTATAGTCTTTGTTGTAATTACAGTTTTTTAAAGTAGGACCAAGATGTAACAACAATGACAAAATGCCAGGATAACCCATAAAGCTGAAAACAGCTTAATTTCAATGGGGTCCTATAAACAAGCAATTAAGAATTAAAATTAAAAGTGTACAAAAATAACAATCATGGTTGATGCACATTTCCAAGGTGAAAGCTTATCACACGTTTAAACTCATTTAATTCGACATGTGCTCTTGAGGGAAGGTCGTGAATAAACCTTACAATCTTATTTAGAGTTACTTGTAGTTTATTTTTTAGAAATGCACTTACTAACATACCAGGCAGATACAACATAGTCGAAATTACATTGGATTAAGACAGAGCAAAATAAATCCAGGGGATCATTGCACTAATCATAGGGCTAAATTTCTAAATTATATTTTTCTTATAGGTACACCAAAAGACAGCTTTTTTGAGGGATTTGAAAACAATAAATGTGAAGTAGATGCAAATGAAAATGGCCAGGTCACTGTAACATTCACGGTGGCTTCTTTCAGTCCGATGGATGCAGTAACTGTAGATTGTGAACTGAATGGAGAGCGTATTGATACAAACCCGCAGTATAATGTAACCGATGACGGGAATTTTATTTTACAAATTTTTATAGATAGGAACATCGAATGGAGTCAAAATTTGACATGCACATTATCTGGTG